AAAAAAAAAAAAGTGCGATTGGGAGTGCAGAAATAGATCCCACAAGTGTCAAGAAAACATTTGGGGATGAGTTAGGCCTGGAAGAAAGCAGAGAAATTTTATCCACCAAAATAAAATATTTTTGAAGTCCCTTGTATTTCCCCACATCAGTCTACTTCTGTTGATTCTTACCATTTCATCATTTCCCCATTTTGTTGTTGCCTGGAGTGAGGAGACTGGCTTGCTGCCCAGTAAACACTCTCATCCTCCTTATGCAAGAAAGGAAGTCCTGACTTGAACACACAGCCACAGAACAAGTTAATATTCCTATGTCTTAGGGTTGAACTTCCTAAAATACAGATAAAGTGTTCATTTTTCAAGATTCATTTTCCTTGGATCTTACCAACAACACATTCAGAAACAGAGGAAGGAAAGAGAGAGTGAGAAAAAGTGAAAGAGAAAAAGAATGAATTCATCCAAGTCATCTGCTTTGCAATGCACAGGTAAAATTTGCAATTTGCAATTCTCCTTTTTCTTTCATAGATTGTTTTGGTTTCTTTTGGAAGAGGAGATAAATATGTTGAAGGACAGGAAAATAGAAAAGTATGCAGTAAAGTAAAAGAGAGTCAGAGACAGAAAGAGAATGAAAAAGAAGAAAATAAAAGAATGGTTAGAAGGCTATGTTATACTGGAAAGATTGCTGGACTTGAGTTCACAGAGAGCTACCAGACTGCTGTTTGTACCCTCTCTGTAATCCTATTGGGAAAATCACTTCACTTCTCTAGAACTAACTTTCCTTGTCTGTGAAATGTGTACTGGGAAGAAGGAGAGGAACTACTAGATGATTGTCAATGTTTTATCTGATTGATTTACAAAGGGCTTGGAAAAATGAGGCGCTAAAAAGAGGAGGGCAGGAAAGACACGAGAAAAAGAGAGGGTGAGAGGGAGAAAGGGAATGAAGGGAAAAAATTGGGGAGACTTAGGAAGGAAAAATTGCACATCTGTCCAACTTCATGAGTTGGTCTTAAAATTAGTAATGGATTACTCCAGTGGTTCTAAAAGTTTGGTTCTTAGATGAGCAGCATCAGCGGCTCCTGGGAACTTGTTTGTTCCATACCAGCTCTAAATAAACTTTTAACTCTGGGGATGAGGCCCCATAATCTGTGTTTTAATAAGCCCTCCAAATAATTCTGATACATACTGTAGATTGAGAATTACTCAATATGGACAATACAAGTGGAAGGAAATAAGAATTTTTTTGTACCTTGCTTAAGGAAGATTGACCATATTTGTGTCTTTCTACAGAGAGAGGGTTCTTCTCTTCCCAAGTGTTCTTATGGATCATTGCTGGGACCTCCATCCTACTACTCAGTGCCTGTTTTATCACCAGATGTGTTGGTGAGTTCTGAAGGTCAAATTTAATCTCCCTGGTGAATATTTAGGGTACATTCTTTCTTGCTGTCTGTGTGTTCTCTTCTCTCACAAAGGGTATTTCTATTTCACTTTTCACCCCCTGTTTATCTCCAGATTATTCCTCAAGCCAGAAATCCCAACTAGTATAGAACTATTACCAAATTTTATTGACCTCTGACACATTTTTCATGATAGACATTTTTCATCTCCATGGTGGCCTTGAGTCCCTCCCTTTGTACCCCTATCATTCGTGTAAAGCTTTCTAAAAGATCCCAGCCAGAGATATGATAAATCACTTTTTGGAAGGAAGGGTAAAGAATATGAGACTTGGCATAAAAGAGAATGCAAACACATTTGTTTTCTCTAGGTCTTTGGGCCTGAAATAAAGTACATTTCTTATTCATAAATCAGAAAAATCATGAAATGTTAAGTCCTTCTTTTTTCGTTGAGTAAGTAAATCTCAGTGTTTCTCCATGCAGAAGAAGTAGATAGTAAGAAAATAACATAATTGTTGGCACTTCTGTTATAAATACAAAAATAATTTATTTTTTATCAAAAGAGCAATAAACATTAACTGTGCCTGTTTCCTTACAGTGACATATCACTTCTTTCAACTCTGTGATGAAAAAAATTTCCAGCCACATGAAAATTTCATGGAATTATCCTGCTACAATGATGGATTGGGTATAATAGTTCTCAAATTTGAACATCAAAATTTACATATCAACATTTTCTGGCTTCTAGATTGATTTAGGTATAAGTAAAGTAGGAGTACGTCCTGTTTTTCAAAAACAAAATGTAAAATCTTGCCTATACTGTAAGACAATTATGAGGAGTTGGTTAAGAAGACAGGAATAGACCTTTGGAAATGCAGTTAGCATTGAGGCAGGATATCTTGGGGACATTAAAGCAAACTTTTAGAATAAATTTGAGGTATTTGTCTGAACAGTAAATCTAGAAGTGGAAGGGTTATCACCACAAGTGCACATTATTTTCCATTCATCACCTGTTTTCAAAATGAAGTGAAGGAAAAAATATAGATAGAATAGGAATTTGGAAAAACTTCAGAAATACACTTTCTATGCTCTTGCATATAATCCTGTTCTAAGTTCTAGAAAAATGCCATATGATACTAGAAAATGACTTCTTTCTCTTGGCTATAATTTCCTCACCATTAAATTGAGAAAGATTGGACTATGTATTTTTAATAAACTTTAAAGTCTTAACTTCTATAATTCTAATAAATTTAACCCATCTGTAAAGCCAGTTTGGAGGGTTTCTTGAGGGTACATCATTTGGACAACATGAGAGTTGGTTTCCTAGAGGTCACTCAGATAAAATGCATAACTTTCTCTGACCTTGGCAGTCTAAATGCATATAATGGGGTCCTATACAAGTACAATAGCATTAGATTGTATATATGGTTGCATTTACTGGTATATCTAGAAAATAAAAATTGTGTTTCAAAAGGACAAGAAAATTGCTTTTTGTGTTTATTGACATAGGAGTTATCTAAAGTCTTAGATAGTAAGATGGGGGTGGTGGCATGAACAAGGGGTTCCAAGGCTGTTGATTGCAAATGATGGACTTCATGGGGCCAGGTGGAACTTCTGTTTTCTTATTTAGTTCATGTGGGACACTCATGGAAACTTATCTCTTCCTAGGTGCAGTCAACAATTGCTGTCCATTGAACTGGGTACATTTTCAATCTAGCTGCTACTTCTTTTCCACTGACACCATGTCCTGGACAGCAAGTTTAAAAAACTGCTCAAGCATGGGAGCTCATCTGGTGGTTATCAACACACAGGAGGAGCAGGTAATTGAAGCACAGCCTCCTCCAGTATCAGTGATCTATCCCTTTTTCCGTACATGTGTACAGTGTTTGGACAATTAATATTTTTTAAATGAATGTACTGAAATGCATTCTATTCCTACTATTCCCCTAAGTCAATACCTACTCTAATTTATTTTCATTACTTGAAGAGCCTAAGAAAAAAGACATTTCCATATTTAGTTCCTTCATTAGTAAGGCAATGAAAAAAGAGTGTTAGGAGTCCATTTTAGAATGACCATTATGTTTATAAACCTGTATGAAAGAAGGAAAGCAAATATTTTCATTACTTTTAAGCTGTGATTAATAATGTTTTATGCAAATCTATACAGTAGATTTTGCTAGAAATAACATTAGATACTTGTAAACTTTGAATGAGTTATTGAGAAATTTCTTTGCTGTTGAAGGCTTTTTTTTGTTGGTTTAATTTTACGTTTTGTGTATTTTTACCACACAAAAAAAATCAGAAGATAATTCCCCCATGATCTTAATATTTCAGCACCATTTATCTATCATTTTTTAGTCCAGATCCTACTTTATCTCTTTTAATAACAGTTACCTTCAACATTTGTTCACAATTGAAATAATTAATCTCCTAAATTTTTTTATTGTGTATCTTCCATAGGAATTCCTTTTCTATGCGAAACCTAGAAAGAGAGAGTTTTACATTGGACTGACAGACCAGTTGGTTGAGGGTCAGTGGAAATGGGTAGATGACACACCTTTCATGGAGTCTCTGAGGTAATTTCCTTCTTGTAGGAGAATTTAACTTACCCCAAATCCTAAAGTCAGACCATTGTTGAGGGGAGTTCTCAGGAGCTCCTTCTGCTCCATGAGATATATTTAGGTTTATCCTTAGTGATATTTGATGCAAGAAGAGAGAAAAGAGAAACATGTGGATCTACTGCTCTCCTTTCCTAAGACTATCTCAAGAATACAGGGCTAACAGGTGAAAATTGAAGATTAATTCTTTGGAAATGCAGCGGAGGCAAAGAGTGAAATTCAGAGTCTTATGCCCCTATACTGTAGTATTGAGACAAAAATAGCGATTTGAGAAAGACAGAAGATTCTTATGGAGTGAAAAAGGGAGCCCCTTTGATAATGTCTCTTTTCTCCTTAACAATGGCTTTACAGCATTAGAGCACAGCATTTTGGAGTTTTCAAAGTTTGGATCTCATTCATTATTTCATTTAACCTAAGTTACTCCTTTCTGAGATACATCAATATTATTAATCTTCACTTGGCATTTCAGGAGCTAAAGGCCAGGGGGTGTCAATCAGCTTTGAGAGTAGAGTCCACATGCTCTGATACTTTAAAAAGTTACTTCACTACAACACTATTAAAATATGCATGTAAGTAAATACAAACTCTGTGTAGAATAAAGGGGATGAAACGTGATACGAGATATGAGTACAAAGGAAACAAATCCATCAGGACATTAGTCGTTCCCATAACTTCTCATTCTGGGTCTAATACATGAGGAAACATGACAGAATCAAAAGGGAGAGCGGTCCATTTCAGCTTAACTATTCACAAACTCGGTGACTTAGACAAATCGTTTAGCTTTTCAGAGATTCCTTTTCTTCATCAATCAAATGGAGAGTATAATGCCTGTCTCACAAAATTGTTGTGAAGTTAAATAACACAAAAGTAATTTGCCTAGTGTATTAGGTCACTTTATCTCTTGTAGCAGTGATTTAAAATCTCCCGTGTCCTTTCTCTTCAGCTTCTGGGATGTAGGGGAGCCCAACAACATAGCTACACTGGAAGACTGCGTCACCATAAGAGACTCTTCAAATCCGAGGGGAAATTGGAATGATGCGACCTGTTTCTTCAGTATGTATCGTATTTGTGAAATTCCAGAAAGAAATATTTTGAACAAAGAATAATCTCTAAGAACAGAAGATACAGCTTAAATGTATAAACGAAGAGGAATAAGAGCATGAACACAGCCACGACTCCAACATAAGAAAAGTGTGCAGGCACTTCTTAAGGACTTTTTTTTTTTTTCAAACAAAACATTCTAATTTTATTATTTAATTATTCCAAAATGTTTTCTAATTTTTTTTATTGTTAGTTTCAGGTGTACAGAACAATGCAATAGTTATCCTTTTCACCCTCACAAAGTGACAACCCCCATCCCCCCATGTATTGCTTAAGGACTTCATAAGCATTTGCCACTTTGATATAAATAAAAATAAGTAGTTTTGAATGTTATAATTCACGATACTGATTGAAGTGTATTTTTCTTTCTATTAGTCTCAGGACTTCTCAGAATTTACCAAGCAATTCTCTAGCAAATGTTGTGAGAAGAAAGGAATTCTCCTTTTGGTTCATTTGCTTCATTTGTAAGTTTTATAAGAAAATACAGGGATATAGAGCAAGTACAAAGTTGGACAAAGAGGAGGATTTTGGAAAGTGCCTTGAACATTGCCTGAATTCAGGCTCTGTGTCAATTCCTCTTCTTTCTAGCTCCTGAAATTTTGTCTTCCCTTCTTGATTTCATACTGTTTTACCCCCTGCCTAAGCATGTATCTTCAATATGTTTTGTACAATGAGTAAGAAACTTTTTCAAGTCATACAACTTATTCCTGTTCAAAAGACTGATGTGGACTTTCTGGCCAAAGGCCTTTACTCAGCTGCTTAGGGAAAGGACATGCTAACCTTCAGCCCCAAACAGGTTGTCATTCAATCCACTTATCCCAGGAACTCCCTTTTCTCTATCCTCTCCCATTGACTAAGGGAATCTCACCTGAATTTATACCAATTACTCAGCCAGGGCCGGAGTGTAATCTCAAGCCAATCCATTTATTGCCTAATATTCTAACCATACAGATAAGGTTATTCAAGAGTATGTATATAACATGGCAGCTTTTACAAACACGTTTCTTGCACACAGCGCCATAAAGAGACCCTCAAATTTCATTTAAATTTCATTTAAATTACAATTAATGTGTAATTATTGAATGGTAAAATTCAACTGAACAAGTAAATATAATATACTGGCTTTCTTTACAAATGTTTCTTTCTCTTAGGCATAAGTAACAACCTGTGGTTTTGAAATCAATACACCTTTAAGCCAAAAGCCATTCAACCTAAAAGTAACCCATTAAATATATTTTCAACTTTCTAATTCCCATTTTTCAAATCATAAACATCAATGAGAAAAAACTGAAAGACACATGAAGATGTTTTTGGTCATAATTGTTTCCATGTAGATAGCTTTGATTTGATTATTCTAAATTTTATTTCAGTATTGAAGGACATTAGAAAATATTAGTGTATGTTATTTCACCATATATTTACAATTTAAGTTATACAACTAACTTTGTCTTCAAATTTTAGTAAGAAAAAAACAATTATTAAAGGCTTGGTAGTTAAAGATCATTGGAATCTAAATTATTTATTCTTGTTTCAGAAGTAGATCATCCAGTTGAAACTGTTTAAATATATATATGTTATATATATTTATATATAAAATGCATATATGTATTATATATATATATATGTATTTTACACACACACACACACACACACACACACGGTGCCAAAAAAAGTATACACATTTTAAGAAAGGAAAAAAACTATTAAAATTGTAATACTCAATACATACTGATAACAAAAGACAAATACAAGTCATGTGTATACATTTTTTTGGCAACCCGGTATATCCCCCTTATACATGATTTTGCTTTCTGTCACTTCAGTTACCAATAGTCCAAAAAATATTAAATGGAAAAAATTCCAGAAATCAACAATGCATAAGTTTTAAATTGCTTACTGTTCTGTGTAGCATGATAAAATATCTAGCCATCCCACTCTGTCCCGCCCAGGACATAAATCATCCCTTTGTCCAGCATCTCCACACTGCATACACTACCTGTCCATTAGTCACTTAGCAACCTTCGCAGTTATCAGAGCGACTGTCATGGCATCCCAGTGCTTGTGTTCAGTCATCCTTATTTTACTTCATAATGGCCCCAAAGCATAGAGTAGTGATGGTGATCATTCAGATATGCCAAAGAGAAGTCATAAAGTGCTTCCTTTAAGTGAAAATGTATGCATATATAGGAAAAAAACATTATATATATA